CCCCCCCTCCCTTTCCCTGTTAGTTCGGTTCTGGATCTTTCTCTCCGTCCGCTTGCTCTGCGGGGGGTGGTGTCTGCGAGGTTGGCTGTGCAGAAACTTGGCCCAGAGAGCTTTATAAGGGAGTGCTGCAAGGTTTTGTCTTTCTGCAAGATGCCCGGGTCCCTACGCAGGTGGGGAGCAGAGAGTGCCTGAGGCCTCGCAGTCTTTAGAAACCTGTAGCTTCCTTTATGCCTGAAGCCGGTCATTTAGGATTTTGAGTACCCAGGAAGTCAAAGATTTTCAGCTGTGATGCTTTTTATTTTTAAAATGTGATGACATTTGCTGGAACCACATTTGGGGAGATGTCTGGCATAATGACAGTGAATTAATTCTGGTCGTTTCCCAGAGAAAGAATAAGATGTTTTAATGGCTGGTTATTTCATGCGTTTGGGTTGGTTTGGTCTTCAGACGCCAGCTGGATGTCTAGAGATTCTTTAATTTCCTAAAATGCTTCTAAAATTATGTGGAAGCACGAGCTTGCTGAAAACCAGCCTTTATATTACTAATGATTTCCTCCGCCCACTTGTGCTTTCCTAGACATGCGCACATGTTTTTCCGTTGCCCTCGGACAAGGAGTTTGAGGCTGGGGTTGGCCTCTGGACACATAGTTGGAAGTGGCACAACAAACGCTCGGGGGCCCTGGGATGACTCTTTGCGTTTTCGTTGTGGTGACTCGTTCGTAATGTGAGGTTGACCTGGACGACCTTGAGGCCTCCCCTCCTCCGGTCTCTCCAGGCGGTGTGTCAGGCAGACCTAGTGTCTCCTCCCAAGAGGGTAACGATGTCTTTTTCTTGTTTTAGGGCTCAAAGTTTGGGCGGGGCATTGGACTCCTGCCACCGGCTCAGCGTACCTCTGCCCGGAGATCTTTCGGGAGGTCCAGGAGGCTGAGCATCACCCGCTCCCTCGATGATCTTGAGGTAACTTCATTTTAGGGTTTCTTCTTTCATTCTCCAGGTTTTAAAAAATGATACATCTGAATCTCCTTTAAACCCCCCCACATTTTACCACCTCTCCCTCTCCTGTAAACTCAGTCTTCAAGTGGGGCTTCTATGCACACCCAGCCCCTCCCCTGCCCCACCCGCTCCTGCCCCATCCGGACCCTCTTCCTCTGCTCCTTGGTCTACAAAGCATCACGGTGTGTCCCGTCCTCTCTTACGTGCCAGATGCCGTAATAGACACAAAAACCTCTGGGGGCCTATCATTGCCTGTTACCAAACCAAACTTGGGTCCGTTTGCCCAACGCACAGAAAAGCTAATCTACTGACACTGGGTTGTGGGGAAGGAAAGTACAGGCACCAGACAAGGAGAACGGGTAGCTCATGCTCAAAGACCCAAACTCCCCAATGGATTTCAGGGAAGGGCTTTTAAAGACAGTGTGAGGTAGGGGGTCATGGGGTATGTGATCAGCTTGTGCACAATTCTCTGATTGGTTGGTGGTGAGGCAACTGGGTGATGTTTCAGGAATCTCAGCCATCAACCTTCCCGCCGGTTGGGGGTCTGCGTGCTGGTGGGCAGCCTGCATAACTTCTTCCATCTGGTGGGGGTCTCAGTACCTGCAGAACAGCTCAAGGACACGGCTCAGGATGTTATCTCGAGCCCTTGAGGAGGAACTAGAGGTCCTTGACACTGTTCAGTGGCTAAACTATTATTGTTTTGTCTTGCTCGACTGTTTTCTTTTGATTCTGCATTTTCTCACTTCTCTGGTTAAATTTGCAGTTTGGAATTTGGGGAGGGCCTAGGAGGCTAAAGCTTTTCTATAAACAAGAGGTAGGGGGAGGTACTGGGGGATACGTCCCCAGGAGGCCCCCCCAGGGTCCTGCTCTGTTTCATACCCACTTTATTTTTTTTTATTATTTAAAAAATATTATTTATTTATTTATTTTTGGCTGTATTGGGTCTTTGCTGCTGCGCGTGGGCTTTCTCTAGTTGCAGCGAGCGGGGGCTACTCTTCGTTACGGTGCGTGGGCTTCTCTTTGCGGTGGCTTCTCTTTTGCGGAGCATGGGCTCTAGGTGTGTGGGCTTCAGTAGTTGTGGTATGTTGGCTCAGTAGCTGTGGCTTATGGGCTCTAGAGCGCAGGCTCAGTAGTTGTGGTGCACGGGCTTAGTTGCTCCACAGCATGTGGGATCTTCCCGGACCAAGGTCCAGACCTGTGTCCCCTGCATTGGCAGGCGGATTCTTAACCACTGCGCCACCAGGGAAGCCCCATACCCCCTTTAAAGATATGATATTGATCCACACATATCGAGAGTATCCTCTTGTGTTGTTCTCTTCTTTGATCTGTAATCCTTAAAAAATAAATAGACTTTACTCTCAGAGCAGTTTGGGGTTTACAGAAAAGCTAAGCAGGAAGTACAGAGAGTTCCCTTGTGCCACTGTGCTGGGTACATGATTAGTTTAGGTTGCATAGCGTGCATGGAGGCCACTCCTTGTGCTGTACATTCTAAAGGTTTGGACAGATGGATTGAGGTCACACAGCCACCATCACAGTGTCACACAGAGCATCTCACTGCCCTAAAATCCTAGGTGCCCGCCTGGTCGTCCCTCCCTGCTCACCCTGGACCTTGGCAGCCGTGGTCCTTTCACTGGTTCATTTTGTGTGTTTTAAAATTTTATACACAGATGTAATCATACTGCATGTCTTATTCTGCCACTTTTATAACATTGTATTATGCTTTCAAGCTTTACCTTGTAGTTTTAGTTTATTTTACTTGCTATGTAGCATTCCATTATGAATATGTCACAAATTTTTATCCGTTCTGCTATTGCCGGCCACGTGGTAGAAGGTTGGGAACAGACTTCTCTGAGAGGAGCTGCAGCAGACAGTGTCATGCAGGTGCCCGTGTGCACAGCCGGGGCTGTGAGAGCGTGTTCTGGGGAGTCAGTTGCTGTGACAGTCTCATCCAAGCCTCACCCAGGCTCTGGCCGGCAGCAGGACCAGGGGCCTTGCTACCCTGCTCACCGACACTTGGTACTGTCAAATGGAAATTCTCCCCGTTTCAATAAAATGCCAACTCATTTTAATTTGCATTTCACTGATTGTGAGTGAGACTGAGCATTCCATCACGGGCGCTTTGGCTGTTCAGATTTTCTCTTTTTTTAATTAATTAATTTTTTTTGCGGTACGTGGGCCTCTCACTGCTGTGGCCTCTCCTGCCGCGGAGCACAGGCTCTGGACGTGCAGGCCTAGCGGCCATGGCTCACGGGCCCAGCCACTCCGCGGCACACGGGATCCCCCCAGACTGGGGCACGAACCCACGCCCCCTGCATCGGCAGGTGGACTCCCAACCACTGCGCCACCAGGGAAACCCAGGTTTTCTCTTTTTTGAATTAGTAGCCTATTCATGTCCTTCTTGTAGTTTTTAAATTTTTATTTTATTTATTTTATTATTTTTAAAATAGATTTTGTAGTAGTTCTTTACATTTTGGGGATACAAATCCTTTGTCAGATAAAGGTTTTGAAAATATCTTCTTTGTGGCTTTTTTTCTGCCTTTGTCTAGGGTGTCAGTAGATATATATTTTAATTGTAGTAAAATAGAGCATAAAATTTACCATTTTTAAGTGTCCAGTTTAGGGCAATAAGTACATTCACATCATTTTGCAAAAATCACCCGTCAACTCCAGAAGGCTCCTAACTCCTACAGCTGAAACTCGGTGCCCATCACTCACTCGCTCACTCCCCCTCCCCTCCCTCAGCCCCTGGCACCCACTGTCCTACTTTCTGCCTTCAGGAATTTGACTTTTGTGTCTGGCTTTCTTCACTTAGTAGAGTATCTTTGCAGTTCACCCATGTTGTAGCAGGTGTCAGAATTTTTTTCCTTTTTAAGGCTGAATAATATTCCACTGTATGGATGGACCACATTGTGTTTATCCGTCTGTCTGATGATCGACACTTGAGTAGCTCCAACCTCTTGGCTGATGTGGCTAATGCTGCTGTATGAGTATGCAAATATCTGTTTGGGGCTTCCCTGGTGGCGCAGTGGTTGGGAGTCCGCCTGCCGATGCAGGGGACATGGGTTCGTGACCCGGTCTGGGAAGATCCCACATGCTGCGGAGCGGCTGGGCCCGTGAGCCATGGCCGCTGAGCCTGCGTGTCCGGAGCCTGTGCTCCGCAACGGGAGAGGCCACAACAGTGAGAGGCCCGCGTACCGCAAAAAAAAAAAAAAAAAAAAAATCTGTTTGAGTTCAGTAATGTTTTAAAAATTAACCATAATTTCTTGCAAACTCAATAACAATTATCTGGAATAAATTGACTTTGGGTGTTTTTTTTGCTTAAAACAGTAAGTTAATTTGTGTTCTGATGCTAAGCTGGAATCTTTGGCTGTTAGAGCTAGAAAGGGCCTTGAAATCACCTCATTATCCAGATGAGAACGGGGACTGATTCCAGAGGGTTTTCAGAGAGTCCTGGGTGGGTGTTTTTTTTTTTTTTGCAGTACGCGGGCCTCTCACTGTTGTGGCCTCTCCCGTTGTGGAGCACAGGCTCCGGACGCGCAGGCTCAGCGGCCATGGCTCAGGGGCCCAGCCGCTCCGCGGCATGTGGGATCTTCCCGGACCGGGGCACGAACCCGTGTTCCCTGCATCGGCAGGCGGACTCTCAACCACTGCGCCCCCAGGGAACCTCCTGGGTGGGTTTTGGGGCAGCGGGGCGCATGGTACTGGGAGGTGGGAGCGGGAGCGGCCGTGGGGCAGCCCCCGGGGGCCCTGAGGCCGAAACAGGCCGCTGCTCAGGGCCTCGGGGCTCCGGGGTCCCAAGAAGGGGGGGTCCCCGCCAAGCCTGCATTCTCCCTCTGGGAGTTTGGCCAGGTGTTGTCTGTGCATCGTCCTGGGAGAAGGGTCTCTGCAGGGGCCTGAGCCCCAGGGGACCAGGAGCCAGCGCGTGTGGCTTGGTGGTGGCTTGAGGTCTGCTTCCGGACAAGCGCCCCAGGCCCTGCGGTGACTGCTTACTTCTCGTCACGACAGACACCAGGGGTCTACTGTTATCTGCGTGGCTGATTGAGAGCAGGCCGGACCTCCCCTACCCTTTCCCTCTGAGTGTCCCCATTTCACAGATGAGAAGCCACATGCAGGCACAGTGTTCTTTAAGACCACGGACTGCAGAGCACACGATCTTTCTATCACCTGTGAACCTCTTTTGTCAGAATAGTATGTTAGAGACGTGGGACTCCACCTTTGCGCCCTTTTTGCCTGAAGTTACAAACTGTGGAAGCACAAATAACTTTAACACCCGCCCTTGGGAGGCCTGTTGGATGCCCCGTGCGTCTGTTCCTCCCTCTGTCCCACGCTCTTCGGCAGCTGTGCTAGGCGGCCTCTGGGCCGTCCCCGCTCCTGGGCCTCACGCCCTTGTTTGGCCCCCTCCTCAGAGGCACCAGCTTTCACGTCTTGCCTTTAATTGTCCCTGCCGGGGCCTCTGCATGTGGCTGCCACCAGCCCGGCTCCTCTGCACGAGGCCAGTTCCGAGTCCATTTCCTGGGCCCTCAGGACACCGTGTCTTAGGCTGAGCCTCCTGGAGCAGACTCAGACGGAGGGCCCTCTAAACGCTGGGTGAGGAGGACCCAGGAAGGACCGCACAGGACGGGGCGATAAAGTGGTGAATGTACCAGTCAATCCAAATGAGTGGTGACTGTAAAACAAGAGGAATTGTGTTTTGTTTGGTTTGAACGTACATGAAATTAAATTACAGCACAGCAGGGCTTCCCTGGTGGCGCAGTGGTTGAGAGGCCGCCTGCCGATGCAGGGGACATGGGTTCGTGCCCCGGTCCGGGAGGATCCCACATGCCGCGGAGCGGCTGTGCCCTTGAGCCATGGCCGCTGAGCCTGCGCTTCCGGAGCCTGTGCTCTGCAACGGGAGAAGCCACAACAGTGAGAGGCCCGCATACTGC